ATTCCCAACAACGTTGACCCACCTGCTGTATTCCTACAACGTTGACCCACCTGCTATTCCCCTACAACGTTAAACCACCTGCTGTATTCCCTAAAAACTTACCCACTTCTGTATTCCCTACAACTTGACCCACCTGCGAAATCCCAACAACGTTGACCCCCCTTGCTGTATTCCCACAACTTTTGACTCCACCTGCTGTATTCCCTACAACGTTGACCCACCTGCTGTATTCCCTACAACGTTGACCCACCTGCTGTATTCCCTACAACGTTGACCCACCTGCTGTATTCCCTACAACGTTGACCCACCTGCTGTATTCCCTACAACGTTGACCCACTGCTGTATTCCCTACAACGTTGACCCACCTGCTGTATTCCCTACAACGTTGACCCACCTGCTGTATTCCCTACAACGTTGACCCACCTGCTGTATTCCCTACAACGTTAACCCACCTGCTGTATTCCCAAACAACGTTTGACCCACCGCTGTATTCCAACAACGTTGCCCCCACTTGCTGTATTCCCTACAACGTTAACCCACCTGCTGTATCCCTACAACGTTGACCCCCCTGCTGTTTTCCCCAACAACGTTGACCCACTGCTGTATTCCCTACAACGTTGACCCACCTGCTGTATTCCCTACAACGTTTGACCCACCTGCTGTATTCCCTACAACGTTGACCCACCTGCTGTATTCCCTACAACGTTGACCCACCTGCTGTATTCCCTACAACGTTGACCCATCTGCTGTATTCCCTACATCGTTGACCCACCTGCTGTATTCCCTACAACGTTGACCCACCTGCTGTATTCCCTACAACGTTGACCCACCTGCTGTATTCCACACAACGTTGACCCACCTGCTGTATTCCCTACAACGTTGACCCACCTGCTGTATTCCCTACAACGTTGACCCACCTGCTGTATTCCCAACAACGTTGACCCACCTGCTGTATTCCCAACAACGTTGGCCCACCTGCTGTATTCCCTACAACGTTGACCCACCTGATGCATTCCCTATAACGTTGACCCACCTGCTGTATTAACTACAACGTTGACCCACCTGCTGTATTCCCTATAACGTTGACCCACCTGATGTATTCCCTACAACGTTGACCCACCTGCTGCATTCCCTACAACGTTGACCCACCTGATGTATTCCCTACAACGTTGACCCACCTGCTGTATTCCCTACAACGTTGACCCACCTGATGTATTCCCTACAACGTTGACCCACCTGCTGTATTCTCTACAACGTTGACCCACCTGCTGTATTCCCAACAACGTTGGCCCACCTGCTGTATTCCCTACAACGTTGACCCACCTGATGCATTCCCTATAACGTTGACCCACCTGCTGTATTAACTACAACGTTGACCCACCTGCTGTATTCCCTATAACGTTGACCCACCTGATGTATTCCCTACAACGTTGACCCACCTGCTGCATTCCCTACAACGTTGACCCACCTGATGCATTCCCTACAGCAGAAACTCGCCCATAAATAGAGGGCGAGTTTCAACCGGGGGATTGCAGTTTGAACTGGACCAATGAAGATGTGACAGAAGTGACCGGGTATCCCCGGCCAGGCCACGCTGAATGTAGAAACATTCATGGTCGTATTTCGTGTGTTAGGCACTGACAATCGCCAGGGACACTAACGACACTCTTCTTGCCGTGAATAATTACGGACTATTATCGAGGTGACAGTCGTCAAAAGACGTTTGATATGGCAAGCAGACGACGGAAGTGAAGACGTCACTAGGCATCTCAAGCCATCGGCTTCTCTTTGACGTTGTAACGTCACCGGCACCGGCTACAATGAGCCAGGTAAGTCACTATTTTACCTGACATCCTGCTCATTATCACTGCAGGGCCTAGGGTCGATGTTAGGTGACTAGGACTAACCATTCGAGGCCATAACGGGCAGATCAAAACACAGGTAAGGGTCGCCCATGACTTCCAGGCGGTATACCTGATATACCGATAATATAAGTCAGAAGGTGTGTATCAACCCTAGTTATAATCACTTTCTTCCTAGCCCTGGTGGGTACCAGGAAGCTCAAAACACCTGTATTCCCTATAACGTTGTATTCCCTACAACGTTGTATTCCCTACAATGCTGTATTCCATATAACGTTGTATTCCCTACAACGTTGTATTCCCTATAACGTTGTATTCCCTATAACGTTGTATTCCCTACAACGTTGTATTCCCTACAATGCTGTATTCCATATAACGTTGTATTCCCTACAACGTTGTATTCCCTATAACGTTGTATTCAATATAACGTTGTATTCCCTAGAACGTTGTATTCCCTAGAACGTTGTATTCCCTACAACGTTGTATTCCCTACAACGTTGTATTCCCTACAACGTTGTATTCCCTATAACGTTGCATTCCCTACAATGTTGCATTCCCTACAACGCTGTATTCCCTACAACGTTGTATTCCCTACAACGCTGTATTCCCTAAAACGTTGTATTCCCTACAACGTTGTATTCCCTACAACGTTGTATTCCTTATAACGTTGTATGCTCTACAATGTTGTATTCCTTACAACGTTGTATTCCCTACAACGTTGTATTCCCTACAACGTTGTATTCCCTACAACGTTGTATTCCCTACAATGCTGTATTCCCTACAACGCTGTATTCCTTACAACGCTGTATTCCTTACAACGCTGTATTCCTTACAACGCTGTATTCCTTACAACGCTGTATTCTCTACAACGTTGTATTCCCTACAACGTTGTATTCCCTACAACGTTGTATTCCCTACAACGTTGTATTCCCTACAACGTTGTATTCTTTACGTTGTATTCCCTACAACGTTGTATTCCCTACAATGTTGTATTCCCTACAATGTTGTATTCCCTACAATGTTGTATTCCTTACAACGTTGTATTCCCTACTACATTGTATTCCCTACAACACTGTATTCCCTACAACACTGTATTCCCTACAACACTGTATTCCCTACAACACTGTATTCCTTTACAACATTCAACTTCCCGCTATATTCCCTACAATGTTGATCCACCCATTGTATTCCCTACAACGGTGACCAAACCACTGTATTCCCTACAACGTTGAACCTCCCGCTGCGTTCCCTACAACGCTGACCCACCCATTGTATTCCCCATAACGTTGAACCTCCCGCTGTATTCCCTACAACGCTGACCCACCCATTGTATTCCCTACAACGTTGAACCTTCCGCTACGTTCCCTACAACGCTGACCCACCCATTGTATTCCCTACAACGTTGAACCTTCCGCTACGTTCCCTACAACGCTGACCCACCCCATTGTATTCCCTACAACGTTGAACCTTCCGCTACGTTCCCTACAACGCTGACCCACCCATTGTATTCCCTACAACGTTGAACCTCCCGCTGCGTTCCGTACAAGTGAAACACACATCTCTGAGCATTGCCCTGCAGCGCTGCTGAGGGGCACCTTACAGTGTAACGTTATCACCTTACACATCAGTGGTTATCTTGTGTCCAAGATAACGTAGTTCAGTGATCTCTGTACCAACAAGTGTACTCTAGTCAGATATCCTCTATATTACTTAACCTCTATATTCCTTAAGTGGTGCTACCACCAATGCCAGTGGAGCTACCACCGTTGCCAGTGGTGCTACCACCGTTACCAGTGGTGCTACCACCATTGCCAGTGGTGCTACCACCATTGCCAGTGGTGCTACCACCATTACCAGTGGTGCTACCACCGTTACCAGTGGTGCTACCACCATTGCCAGTGGTGCTACCACCATTGCCAGTGGTGCTACCATTACCAGTGGTGTTACCACCATTGCCAGTGGTGCTACCACCGTTACCAGTGGTGCTACTACCGTTGCCAGTGTTCTATTTACATGGAAACGTTCAACTACACTCTCACCCACCTATACTAATCACTACACGCCACCACATCACTACACACCACCACACATCACAACACACCACCACACATCACTACACACCACCACCACACATTACTACACACCACCACACATTACGACACACCACCACAAAACACTACATACCACCACACCTTACTACACACCACCATACATCACAACACACCACCATACATCACAACACACCACCACACATCTATACACACCACCACACATCTATACACACTACCACATCTCTTCACACCACCACTACTACACAGCCACACATCTTTACACACGACCACACATCACCACACCACTACATACCACCACACATCTCTACACACCACCACACATCACTTCACCCCACCACCACTACTACGCATCACACATCTCTACACATCACCACCACTACTACTGACTGACATAACATGTTTACAACATGGTGAAGCACTGACACTGCATGTTTACAACATGGTGAAGCACTGACACTGCATGTTTACAACATGGTGAAGCACTGACACTACCACATGTTTACATGATGAAGCACTGACACTACCACATGTTTACATGAGGAAGCACTGACACTACCACATGTTTACATGAGGAAGCACTGACACTACCACATGTTTACATGATGAAGCACTGACACTACCACATGTTTACATGATGAAGCACTGACACTACCACATGTTTACATGATGAAGCACTGGCACTACCACATGTTTACATGAAGCACTGACACTACCACATGTTTACATGAAGCACTGACACTACCACATGTTTACATGATGAAGCACTGACACTACCACATGTTTACATGAAGCACTGGCACTACCACATGTTTACATGATGAAGCACTGACACTACCACATGTTTACAACATTGTGAAGCACTAACGACACCAACACATGTTAACATTAAGTCGTACACACATGCTCCTCCAGCATGCCCCAACACTTCACTTATAATCTTAAATTTAGGACAATCGTGATATATTAAATTGTGATAAAACCAATTGCACAAAATATGAATAGAATAAGACCAACGAGGCATACTGTAGATGCCTAGTTAAGCCGTGGTCACGAGTTAGAGACGTACACTTAAAGAACTTTTGATATATCCTCTGGAGATAAACAATGCGTTTCCTTTGGTATACCCCTCCAGGTATACCTTGTAGGCCTATAGCAAGGCACTGTCCTGGCAGTTAGCGTACAAGAGTGAAGCAGCTCACTCACCACTGCCACACCTCAACTGCTGGGGCGGGAGCAGCCGTGCCGCTCCCACCAACTGTCTACTCTGATATGACGTTTCTCAGCCACCCACCCATATCCCTCAACCCCCCCAACCTCACCCCTCCTCCCACGTTTTCCCTTGTGAGGGACAGACCAACCTGAGAGACTGGCAATTCTGAAGTGATGATAACTCCACTCTGCTAAAACAAAACCTAGGAATTTTCCGTAGCTACCGAATTCACAGTGTATTTTTTGACAAAACCCTCCTGGCATTGCTGAAGCATCCCAGCTCAGCAACAGATTTCGTTACCTGAAAAGTAAAATCCATCTTGTGCCACAGACTATGAGAAGGATATATAGTGGTTGTTCATATACTACCATACAGAGCACGAAAATTATAATCAATTTTGATTCATAATATAAAGGCGTTTAAGTCAAAAGGAACGATCAGGACCCACAGAGGCACCTTAGCAATCTCTATGAGATGGTCATGTGAGAGTCCTATGTTCAATCACCTGTCCTAAATTTTACTATAACTGACTTCTCAAAAACGATTTTCAGGAGTTTTCTCAATATGCGTTATTTAAGTTTAATTGGGTTAGAATGTCATTTGTAAGAAAAAATTAACGTATATCACACCATAGTCATTAAAAATAATAATATACAAGAACGATAGTGATTTTTGAAGCGCGAAGAGAAAACGGAGCCAGTGAGCGTACAAGAACATAAGCAGTTATAAATGTTAGGGTGAGACCAACAAACTGTAGAAAAGGACACTTCACACCATCACACTTACGTACAGTTCAAGACACGAGCGGCTTCGTTATGAGGACTGATGAAAACTTTCGTGGAGAAACATTTCCTTTAATGAAGGTCCTGAACTGTACACAAACGTCTTCTTCCACAATCACTTTCATTCCCGTGTCACAGTCACACATCTAAGCTGCAATAAAATACCGACTTTGATTATGAGGATGAGCTGGTGCAATATATAATCACAAGAGTACCGTTTTCCACAACCAACAGCCATGGACAAAACGGACGACCAGAACTGTAGCTGCGGTTAAGAGTAAAAACTCCGACCAACGATGTTACCAACAATCTATAGATCTAATGCGCTTAGAAGGTACCAAATCGGAAAATATGGAAATCCCCACTAGAGACTGGAAGGTACAGATC